TGGGGGGTGATTTCGAGCTGCTGCAGCTGCTGGTGGTTTTCTTCTTTTTGTGTTTATTTAAAAAACCGAAATAAATTAATAAATAAAAATAAAATACTTCTCTGCACACACAAAAGGCTCCTAGACAAACAGGAAGAACAACCAACGAGGTGTATGTACACCTCAAACCACGGGGCTGCTGCACCCCACAGCGAGAAGCAGCAGCAGCAGCAGCAGCAGCAGCAGCAGCATTGCTGCTGCGTCTACACAGCTAGCTTTCTCTATTCACACAGCATGTGCTGCTGCTGCAGGCACCCCGATCAGCTCCTGCTGCTGCTAGCAGCAGCAGCTAGCTAGCAGCAGCTAGCTAGCAGCAACTAGCTAGCTGCAGCAGCTAGCGACAAAGTCTATCTGGCGCTGGCAGTACCCCTAGAGAGCGTTGGAACCTGGACCCGGGTCCCTCCTCTAAACCCTAAACCCTAAACCCTAAACCCCAAACCCTAAACCCTAAACCCTAAACCCCCTAGGCATGTAAGAGCAATCACTGAGGCGGAGCTCAGGGAGAAGAGAGACGGAGAATACACGAGAAAAGCAGAGCAGCTGAACATTGATTTGCCTGTGTTTTGTACTCCCGGTACAGGTCTACCCAGGGTAGCTAGATATAGCGGTAGTGCTGCGCCTGCTAGCAGGTGAAGTCTAAGCAAACCCTAAACCCTAATTATAAACAGCGGTGACGCATGCACCCCGGGGGGAGGAGGGGGAGGGGGGGGCTTGCATGCACTCGTTTGGGGCTGTGTTGTAGCAGCAGCTCCCGGGCTCTTGTGCCGCTATTCTTATCATAGAAGTGTTTATATATATTGTATATATAAACACTTGTATGATAAAATATATATTGTATATACAATATATATAAAAACTTTTATGACGATGGTTTTTAGACAAGGTTGAGGGGTATAGTTAAGGAAAAATTAAATAAACTCTGAAGACAACACCGAAGGAGAGAGGAGACAAAAGCTGCTGAGAAAGTGCTGAGCCGCCTCAGGCCTTGGCGTTTGTTTTTCTTTATATTTATATAACTACTCAGCTGGAGACAGTTAAAAAAGAGCAGCAAGACTCTGATTATAGTTTTATATTTTTTTCTTTTGTATAGTATATCTGTACTGGTTGTTGTTGAGATATGCTGCTCTGTAAATATTTTGTCTTTGCTTGCTTCTCCTCTCTCTCTCTATCCTTTTGTTTTTCTTTCATTGCCTGGCTCCTTCGCATATGCTGAGTCTACTTATCCCCCCTCGGCTTTGTTTGTTTGTCTCTGCTGCTGCTTTGTCTGTACCTGTGTGGGCCTGCAGTTGGGGGGGATGCAGCAGCAGCGGGATGCAGCAGCAGGGGTTTTTTTTTTTTCCAGGGGTAAGGAAAGAAGAAGAGCTCAAATATTATTTTTATTATTAAGCCAAGACAAAGGACTACAGAACATTTGCTTTTTAAAAAGATTCACAAAAATACAAAATTGAGTATACGTGTGTTCTTTGGTGCACCCCATCATTCATATAGCTAATATGATATCCTTTACTATAGTACGAGGGTTTAGGGTTTAGGGTTTAGGGTTTAGCGTGTATATACAGCAGATACGAGCAGAGAAGTAGGTGAATAAACCAGTGTTTCTGGCTTATCTTATATTCGTTAAAAACTACAGAGTAAGCATGCAGCGAGAGGGGGGCTGATGACGCCTGTA